GAGGCCAAAGGCAGGGAGCCGTAGGACGCCAGAGATCGGCGCAGAATTCTCAATACCTAGAATTTCAATACAGATTCTAAAGACGTGCTAACTGCTAGGTTTCCGAAGAGGAATAATACTGGGCGAGCAATGCTTTGGGAGAAGACACATTCAAATAGTGACTCCTTCCTGGGCCGGGGTAGGGGCGGCAATCGTGGTTACCTTGCATTTCTGCGTGCATGCGTGTGTGCAAGACGGTATGTAGCTCGCGCATGCGGCCGGGCCTAGGCTTCGTTCTTTTCTTTCTTTCTTCTTTCTTTTCCTTTTCCTTTTTTTTTTTTTTTTTTTTTTTTTTTTTTTTTTTTTTTTTTTTGAGGCAAGAATATTGAAGCCGATCCACTCTTTCTGTGGCTAGTTCCCACCTACCCAAGCTGGGATTTCAACCTCTTGTTTACTTTTAAAGCCAATATGGAGCCCCGGTTGAATCCCCCGGCTCGTGATTTTACCAGGTTGCGCTCAATGCCCCACCGCTGCCCTTGGCACGTGAAGAGAAAGGAGGGAGAATTGATGGCCCCGAGAGAAGCCGGTTTTGAGCCGCTTCCGTCGGGGTCCAGCGTTTGGCCCCCAACAGATCCGCTCTCCTTTCTTTCCCCGAAGGCGCTCCCTTAGGCCAGGCAGTGTCGCTGCGTTCTCAGCCAGGTGAGCAAGGACACGGTCCCAAGGTGGGGGGTGCGGGGGCGGGGAATGGCCTTCTTTCCCGAGCTCTGTTGGGTACGTGAACCTGCCCGGCGCCGAAGGCTGAGTGGCGCTGGGGGCCAGCGCCGGGCTCCTGGCTCCCGCCGGCAGGGGAACAGCGACACCTACTGGCCCCACGGGTACCGTGCCTGGGCCGTCGGGGCGGCCCTGGGCTGGAGAAGTCCGGCGTGGTAGACTTGGGAGGCCCCGGAAACCTGCGCCCAAGGCTCCACGGACCTCCCTAGGCGAGCCTCAGGGAAGGCAAAGCCACAGACTCTAGGACTCCTAGGGGGACTGTAAAATGGGACTGACAGCACATGCACACACACGTCTTTCCCTCCAAGAAAGGGAAGCCCTTTCTCCTGCGGAACCGGAGGGACCCAGAGACACCGTCGGCCACCGTCCCCTGGTTTTATGAGAAACCCAGGCAGAGGCTGGAGCCCTGACCTCCTCGGGATCATGACCCAGGCCTCTTCACCACCATCCCCATTTCTGCGCTGACTAATGAGGATATCTTTACAAATTAGGGACAGAGAAGAGTTCATTATCCTCCTTTAGAGGGGAAGTGTTCGAGTCAAGGACACAGGCTCATCACAGTGGGGGGCTGCAGGCACGCGAACCGGCTCTCCTATTAGCCAGCTTCGGGCACCTTTAGCGCTCCCTTGTCGCCGCCAGGGATTGAAATCTGGTAGCTTTTCTTTAAGAATTGTGATCTTAATTAGTCTTGAAGAAAAGGCAAATCTGAGGTGTTGGTGATACTTTTGAGACCTAAGGGTATATGTATATATATATTTGAAAGCATGTATATCAAAGCATATGTATCAAAGTATATAAATACTTAAAGTATATATTTATGTACTAAAATATAAAAGTATATGTATCGTGCTAAATGACTTTGATTGTTGGCTTCTGCTGGGAAAGGTAGGAGAGGGTGCTCAAGGATGGTGAGGCCTGACAAAAACTTAGCAAGGGTGGTATGGAAAGAAAGTAATTCGTGTATTCCAGATTCTCTTTCTCTTATGAGTCTTTTTTGTAAAATCAAATAGCCAATTCATATGAAAAGAAGATGTGATGTAGGTGGTCCCAGCAGCGGGTGGAGGAGGGAGCTTCCCTTATTCCCCTAGATGCCTCCTTTTTTCCCATTTTAGGTTCTGAGGCTCACTTGGGCCTAAGAAACCTGATTGAATGTAAATTCTGATATCAACCTGCTCAAATATTAAAACATATTCCTTTCCCTAGAAAGATTGGAGTATTTGAACTATTTTGAATCCCTGAGATTTCTGTGTAAAATATTACTCATTAACAAATCCCAGAATTAAAACACGCACACACATACACACACAAATACAAAAACAAACAAACAAAAACCCTTTTCTTTCAAAGTTCGAGAGTTCATCTTGGAAATTATTTTCCTTAGCGTTAATACTGGTTGGAACTAGTGTCTAAAGTGTTTTGAACAGAAGGCGGCAGGGTGGGGAGCCTTATTAGGGCTAAATGGTTGCCTTCATTCTCTACAATTACAAAAGTTTACTAATTCTGTTTTATTTAAGTAAAATTGGAAGCTCTTCGACTCTTCTCTCTGTCTCTCTTATTTAAAAAAAAAAGTCTCTAAAAGACTCAAGCAGCTTGCTCCTCAACTCAATTTGCAAGCATTTTTTTCTTTTTTCTTTTCCTACAAGTGGATCCTAACGTGTTGTGATAATATATGAATTTACATCCTAGAACAATCCCTTACCAGTTCTTACAATGTCTGAATAAACTGATATTACTAATAATGAATAAAAGAGGGCTATCTCCTAATGGCATTTCTCTCAGTGAGTCCTGCACCTACCTCACTGTATATCAAAGTCAACTTTCTCCTTGTAAAATGGAAACCTTCAAACAAAAGGAAAATGATTACAGAAAAAATTAAATTACACTAGGCACACAACAAGCATCCATCAACCAAAACCAGTTCAGAGGTGTCTTTGGGTATTGGAAGCACCTGGAAAAATGCAGGGGTTGAATTTTTTCCTTTCCTTTTGGGTTTTTAGAATGTACCTTTATTTGTGACTTCAAAATCTTAGTTGGAATGGGTTCTCATTGTTCCTTGATATCCTTTGGTTTTAGTAACTCTAAAAATTTGTAATTTGGCATTTGGCATTAAAGAAGATAGAAAAATAGGATTTATGTGTCAAAAATGGTGGAATTTCTCTGCATACTAATCACCCCCAAAGCATTAGCACATTAAGCCCTAATTGAAGGAATGTTTCTTGATTTAGAACAGAAAATTAGGTCAGTGAAGTCGTTTCTTATTTCACCAGAAATATTAATATATATGAAGGAAAATGAAGGAAACATGAATATATATGAGGATATATATATATATATATATATATATATATATATAGTGTTATAGTGATGCATGTGTGAAGTAGGAGAGGAGACAAGGCTTTTCATTCTGCTTAGGTCTCCCTTGATATATATCTTTTAATTCCTCGTATTTAGCAAGAAAATTAAGGAATGAAGATAGGCTAAGCTGTCATTAGACTGTCTGTGTTCTTTGTCACACCTGCCCTCCTTCTGGGCTCGCCTTGGAGGGTGTGTACTTCCTTTCCTGCTTGCTGAGTAGCATGGAGGAAGGAAGATATGCGAGGATGGGAATATTGATCAGAAAAGTACATCACTGCATGTGAAAATGAGTTGGATACATTTGAAATCTAGCTAAATCCTAGCTAGGTGGTTGTCTGGTGAGGGGAATTTGTGTGTGTAAGCTAGTAGGCTGATTGAATAAAGCACTTTGGAAAGAAGGGAGAGGGGCTCTGCTTCTGAAGTGGCCTCCCTTTCAAATTCAGTGAAATCCGCAGGGGCTTCGGGGAGCAGAGCTCCAAGGACACCTGTGTGCGTCTGATTGGAGACGGGTGTGTGTGTGTGTGTGTGTGTGTGTGTGTGTGTGTGTCTAGGCAGGAGTAGGCATTTGATCAAAAATACATTTGAAAAAATATTCGTCCTAAAATTCTGTCATGTAATCAATTGAGGTCAGGCACCAGGGTCACTAACGTTTCCAGGTTCAGTCATGGACGGCGGCTACATTGCTTTTGATAGTATGAATATGGCTTCTTTCATTTCTTTGGCTCTTTATGGTACTTCTTTTGAGTGGGGCGAGGCTCTAGCTTCCCCCTCCTCCCCTCTTGATCCCTGCAGACAAAACCATTCTACCACTTGAGCCATCTGCCGCAGGTGTAATGGATGGCAGGGGGCCGACCTAACCACACTTCAGTATCTTCTAGGTCGTCACCGCTCTGCACCAAACAAATGAGTCCTGTTTCGCCACTAGGGTGCCGAGGTGGATGGTGGATGCCGGCCCCCGCCCCTGGCAGCGTTCAGCGCTTAGAAACCAGAGCCAGCTGACAACACAGGAAACACACAGAGAAAACGCCGAGCCGACCCGGCTCCCTCTGCACCCTCCCTCCGCTCTCTGTACACATGGAGGACACGTACACAGCCTTTATACATTTAAACGCCCTCACGATTCCCTGTGAATTCTTGGTTACTTATGACGGCCTTTCTCACTGCACATAGTCCCCGGTGTGTGTGTGTGTGTGTGTTTGTGTGTGTGTGTGTGTGTGTGCATTCTTGGTTACTTATGACGGCCTTTCTCACTGCACATAGTCCCCGGTGTGTGTGTGTGTGTTTGTGTGTGTGTGTGTGTGTGCGCGCGCGCGCGCGAGTGTGCGTGTGTGTTTAAAACACTTATTGGTAGGTCATCAGCAGCTGATCAGACATGGTAATCCAATAATCTTTTTGAATACATACAATTTTTCGTTAAAGCTAATTTTTTAAGGGAAAAAGGGAACACTATCAATCTTTTGCGCAAGTCTAGGATTCTCAGTTTCGGTTCCAGGGAACCGCAGAACTGCACAGCCCCCGCCTTGCCAAACTTTCCATTTCCAAGGTTTGAGACAGGCGCACATTCCCACTTCATGACACAGCAGGGGCTTATTTGCACGCGGGTATGTAAAGGAGGGGAGCTGACGAACGCTCGGCATAGGGATGGTGGAAGCCCCCTCCCGCAGGCGCTTGGAACCCTGGCTTGACGCACGCGGTGCCCCGGGGCAAGAGCCCGGGGTCCAAGCTCCCAGTCGCACAGCATCCTCTTGGCCTCCAGCCCTCGGGCTAGAGCCTCCCCTCCACCCGCACTCCAGCCCCATCTTTACCGTTATTTGAGTAGTGATGCCCGTCTGCCGGCCTTGGGAGGGGGCTGGACCCTGCCAGGTGCGGAACTCCGCGGGACCCAATGTACTTACCTCGAGCGATTCCCTTGCAAATGGTGGCCCAGAAGCATCAAGTTTCTCTCCCAGACGTTGTGCCAGATTCTTCTCCTGCCTTCCGCTCCTCTCGGCAGGCTCCCCCCCCCCCTCTGTCACACACGAGGATTACTTGTGACTTTTAGAGGCAAAAGCCTGCTTATTCAGAGGAGGGAGGGAGGGAGAGGGAAGGGAGAGGGGGAGAGGAAGGAAGGGGAGAGAGAAGTAGATAGGGGATGGAGGATGAAGAGGAGGTGGGGAATCAGAAGGTATTGCAGGCGTTGGTAGAGGAGGAGGAGGAGTGGTGGTGGGAGGGGTGGGTAACCGTAGATGGGCTGGGATGGAACTGCAGGAATAAATTGCTCCCCACCCAGCTGCAGTGCGACGCCCCCAGCGTCCCGGGGGAGCCGGTGCGTCAGCTCGAGGCTGGCCAAGGCGGGGCGGTACAAAAGCTAGCGCCGCGGGACCCCTTCGCTGGCTTCTACCAGGGCAGACTGAGCGGTGGAGGTCGCTCCACGCTGGAGCTCAAAGAGCGGAAGGTTCTCCGTCCGGACAAGGGTGGCTGTCTAGGGGCTCCAAGCTCCACGGAACTTTTATTTCATTCCTAGGAGCCTGGCCATTTTCTCCTACGTCTCAGACAAGCGCGGGAGGCCCGGGAGCTCCCGCGCGTCCTCACCCCGGCTGCGGGCGCCCACTTTAGCCATAGCCCCAAGTGCCGACGCCGCTCCTCTGGGCCGTTTTCCCACTGCTCAGGCTCAGCCTGAGCCCTAAGTGTCTGTTCACATTGGGACACCCCCTCACCTCAGCCTGTTTGTACAGAACTCGTGTGTGTGTGTGTGTGTGTGTGTGTGTGTGTGTGTGTGTGTGCGCGCGCGCGCGCGTTCCAGGAGAAAAAAAAAAAAAAAAAAAAAAAAAAAAAAAAAGTAGCTTCTATCTTCTGCAGCTTGGAGTCCACGACCAAGTTCAATCATATTCCGTAGTTGAGATTATAGTTCACAGCAACGGCAAGGCAGGAGCTCACCGGATTATTTCAACTGAGTTTCCATCCAGCAAGAATTTTATTATTATTATTATTATTGTTATCATTTTCAAGTATGACGAAAATAGACTTAAAAATAAAGAACAGTCGCAGACAAAATGGGGGAGGGGTGCACTTCAGCAATGGTCAGGAACCAAAAGTGGTTGGAACGGTTTTCTTGAACAAGAGCATCCACGATGGATGAAGGTGGAAACCTCAGACTCGCACAAAATCGCTTCGATACGTGACAGGATTTTAAAAAAGGAGCATGCTTTTCGACATAGAAGTCCCATCAGTTCTCTGTTAAACGCATTAAACCCGCCCCATGAGATGATTACATGGCAGCCTTTAATGTACAAACACGCGGATACTACAGAAGGTGCACACACCCCGTTTAGAAAACTCTGTGCACACGCACACACACATTCACAAAAAGAAAGTTTTAACACCCTAAACTCGTAAATATATACATATTTTCTCAAATAACTATCCCTAAATATAGTAATTTTTCTCTGCATTTCCTTGCTGACCTGTAGGTGCGGCATTACAGTTATACAGTAGGCTACCAGCATCGACATTATTCTGCTTACATTCATCGTGGATGGCACGTCATAAAATGCCAGAGGGGAGGGAAAACCTTCAGGGGCGTGGAGAAGAAGCCTTTTATTAACAATTATATTCTCCCATAACAGTTTAATTTAAATAATAGCAATGATGTCACAGTAACCATCTCCCTTCCCCCACTCAAGTGAAACCACTAGATAGTTAGGTGAACTATGCATTTGTGTATTTAGTCAAGGGATTATTTTTGCTATAGAGTTATACACCTATCCTGTGACATAAGGAATCTCTGAACATTAAGTTGTTGAACATTTGGCATGTTTCAGGACCTCTTTACCTGCCAAATCTTATTTCAGAATAAGGATGATAAAATGTTGCTAGCTTGTACCGACCATAATTTTGGAGGAAAATGAAACAAACGAAGTTATTTGAAAATTATGTTAGTTATAGGTCTCTTTACCTGCCAAATCTTATTTCAGAATAAGGATGATAAAATGTTGCTAGCTTGTACCGATCATAATTTTGGAGGAAAATGAAACAAACGAAGTTATTTGAAAATTATGTTAGTTATAGGTGAATAAATATATTTCCATCAGCAGGATGAGCCGGTTATGCAATATAGGAGGATCATATTTTACTGATCCGAGTGGAGTTTTAAAAAAATCTTTTGGATAATGGCGATAGGGGAAGAAGTGGGAATCACACAGAACCCATCCCAGCCTGCGGCCGTGGGTCGCTGTGCCAGGAGCACACACTCCACACACACCGGGACCCCCGCCCTCACGGCTCCGCGCTGTTTGGGGCTCGGTTTCCGAGGATGAGAGTTCGGTCTCCATGATTCAGCCACACGTTTAGAAATGGGTATTCGTACAAGGGCAACGTTCAGATTATAGTACAATGGCATCGTGGAGTTAGAACCTTCATTTTTTCATTGTTTAACTATTGCTTGATAATTTAACTGTCTTGATTATTGAATACAATTTTAGAGTATTTGCCTATTTTTCTTCGGAATTACTAGCTAGTGTTTGGTTCTCATGAGGCCTCAGGATTGGGTTCTACCGATGAGGGGGAGGGGTCTCAACAAGTACAGCTTTGATGTACAGAACAATTATGCAAAAGAAAGTAATTTATTATCTGATAGGTAGAGGAGGACAATTGAAATCGTGGGTTATGTTGAAGTAGGGCTTAGCAGTTTGCAAAACTTCTCTTTACACTTTAAACAGACAACTTCATAAATTGCATTTCTTTTTTTACCTTTTAAATCATCTACAAACCTCGGAGATTTTCTCTTCTTGACTAGAAAACGCCCCGAAGGCTTGAATTAGCATCGTAGCCACTGATGCCTCTATCCAAGGTGTGGTATCTTTTCTGAGGACTCAAGAAAATCCCCCAAACCGCAACTGGTTCTGTGGTGCGGGCACTAAGGACTGTGCGTTAAGTTTATCAGTCTTTTAAGCACCACGTGATCAGACAGGAAAGGTAACTTGAAAACACGACCTGATTCCGGGCAAAATCGTTTTGTCCTGTTGGCGAGAAGATGTAGTTATATCTCCAAGTTCCACCCAGGAACAGACGGTTGCGTGTCAGGGCTGGTTCCTACCCAGATCACTACAGGATCTTCAGCTGGCAGAGGAGGTCCAGCAAATGGGATTCGTGAAGAAACTCATGTGTGTTTCAAAAAAAAAAAAATGTGTGTGTGGGGTAGAATGGAATGGTTGGTGCTGCTTCCTGGTCCTTTTCGCTGAAGGCTCCTGTGATAATCAGTGGCTTTGGCAGCAGCTGGGAAAGCAAGAATTCACCACCAGTGTTGACCATGACATATGTAATGGGGCTAGTTTAAACTTTGTTTTAAAAACATTTTCCTGAAGATGTTAGTCTTCTCCCTGTTTATCTCTTACAGGATTTAAATTTTTTTAAGATGTGGGTAGTCATTGCATGGGGTTGTGCTATGGTTAACATAGGTACAGGGGCACTTTGGGGTCATATAAATACCAGTATAAATAAATGATCCGTTAGCTTTCCTGGCAGTACTTCTGTGAATGGCAGCTACTCCAGAAAGAGAGTAGTTGTAGTTTCAACTCGAGTCATTATAGGTGTGAATTTTCTGCTGAATTCATCAGTCCGAATCAAGGATTCGGGATACATGCCCATATCCACTGTAAATAACCACTTGGACACCCAGCCACTGTTGTCATAGCTACTGACATAACCCTCCTGGTGTTTATTTTTAGTTTTCTTATTACTTTTAATTAGTGCCCTTTTCAGTACCCAATGAGGAGATTCAAATTTAGCCTTGGAGTCGGTCACTTAAAAATTATTCTCTTTTCTCTTTCGAAATTAAGCCCACTCCCCCCAATTGAGCGTTTGACCTTTTGAGGCTCAAACACTTCCTTAGGTTTCTAAGCTTTCAAGCGACCCGTTAGTGTCAAATTCCATGGCAGCAACAATTTGATGTCCACAAGTAAAGTGATGCTTTAGAGAGGGACACGTCACCATTTCTACATTTTCTTTCGTTCCTGACTAATACAGTAGAGGCTGACAGTCTATGAAATCCCCTTCTACAGTTTACCAAAATTGGTAAAATGTTTTTTAAATTCTACTTGGCGAGAGTCCCACGGTCTTGCATCTTAAAATGGGTCCGGATGGCATTCTTTAGGCTGATTTTTGGAGACCAGCCTCGGCCGAGGCAGCTGCAAGTAACGCTATAGGGATGAAGGCGGGGCTCTCTGTCGCCTGCAAAGGTATTTTACCTAGAGTCTCCTGATTTTGCGTTTAAACTCACTCTGCCACACTTGCTGGGGGGTCGGTAGGCTAATAAAAGGCGAATGGAACCCCACGGTTTCTGCCAGAGACGTTTTTGCCAGAAAACAGAGCGAGCGGGGGCAGCCCCCTCCTCGCCCCTCACGCCTGGAATTCAAGGCACCTGCGGCTACGGCGGCGGCGGACGGCCTCAGGTGAGCGGCTCCGGGAGGGGATGCCCGAGGCTCTTCCCAGGGCCCCCATTCCTGCCTCGGGCCGCTCTCCAGGAGCGCTTTGACCTCCGCTACCGTTCATCTTGGCCTTTTCCTGCAAATAACACCTGCTGGCGCGGATCGAGTACACCTGACCAGATGTAGTCAAAAGAAAAAGGAAAAGAAAAGAAAAGAGAAAACTACACCCTCTCTAATTCCGTTTGGTAAGGGCCGGGGCTGCCAACTCCATTACATAACGCCAGCTCAAGCTGACACCTGTGCGCTCTGGCGCTGGATCGGGTTCTGGCCGCTGCTCCGGCCTGCAAGGCCGGATCCGCAGAGCCCAAGCCAAGGGGAAGAGGAACGAAGTTTGGGCAGAAGGGTGACCCCTTGTTCAGGGCTTAAGGTGGGGTTGGAACCTGGAGGCGACACTTCCAGGTTGGCTCCCCAATAATTTGGGGCCACGAAAAAACAAAACCACGGCATCAGAGTCCCAGAGCTCTCTCGGGGTGCACTGGACGCCCCTCGTTGCTCCAGAGCGGGGTGGGCTCCCTGAGGCGCCTCCTCTGACCTCATGAAGAGCAGGTCACTCACCTCTGCGGGGCTTCCAGAAGCCTCACGCGCGGACCCCGCCCGCCCCCCGGCTGCTATGGACGCGGACCCTGGAGGTGCCCACGGCGTGGTCTAACACATGG